CTGAAATTTCGTGTTGGCTGAGAAAATTTAGATTGGATGGGGGGGAGGTAGGTATTCCTTGTGGATAGTATGCTGGGGTAGAGTTACGTGTATCGCAGTTATGACTAATATTTTGTGTGTTTAAGTTATTTTCGTAAATATTAGTCCATTGACGGTCTTGGGTGGTCTGTATGCGATGGTTTTCGGGGATGTGGTGAGTCAAAAGGCCACCTTTAGGAAACATGCCTAGCGCACTTGTTCCTTGTTGTAGAGGTCCCTGGATCAAACTTTTGTCTATAGTAGCCATAGATTGGAAAGTTGTGTCGGGGTAGGTGTATGCCTGCCCGTCGGGCTTCGACTTATTTTTAGGGTGCCCAGACATATAGCGTCTGTTGTGTCTATCGGACGAAGACTTGTTTGATGTTGGATGAATCGGCGGGTTACCTCTCTTTTCATTGACGTTAGATTTATGGCGGTATGAGGGCTTATTCTGCTTCCCTGGTTTAGTGGTATGATTGGGGTCGCTTAAGTTAATGTTATCTGGTTCGCTGCTGAGAAACCTATCAGTGATGTGTTTGAGTACAGGTATTCTGGATGGCAGGGTTATTTTACTTCGTTTTGTATGCTCACTAATCTGAGTGCTGCTCGGGGAGGATATGCTTAATGCTACATGCTCGAGCTTAGTCTTTTGCTTAACGTTGGTAGTGGTATTAGCGGCTGATGGTGATGTGGCTAGCGAGCATAACTCTGAAGATGCATCTAAGTCTATGACCGTAGTTGCTTCATCGTTGAGTTTACTAGGTAAATTTTTATTATTTAAGAGTATTTCATGTATGTCTGTACCATTAGGTTTACTCAAGTTTAAGGCGACAGAGTCTTCTATAGGACATTCTGCTGTTACGTAAGTTTTTGCGACACTTGGTACACTTGCGCGGCTACGTCTTTGACATGGCGTTAGGTCATGGGCAAGTTTAATATTACCATAAGGTGTGGATGAACTAATTAACTTATTTGACGACTGAAATTTCCTAGCATCATTAGGACTACTGAATTTAAACAGCACAGGGCAAGTATACTTTCCTGATTTTTTCCTGAGTCTGATTAGGTGGCAATTCGCTGATGGCATGCCACACGCTTGGAGACATGTCACTTTGATTTTGTCCAGAGGCGTCCGATCAGGCAGATTGTAAGCGAGAACGTTGTACGAGGACATGATTCGTTTAGTAACTTCACTGGCTATAAAGTCTAACATACGCTCAGATTTCAGCAGACTTTCCGGATTAGCATCATGAGTTGGGTTACAAAGAAGCAGTAGTGGCTTAATGGTGTTTATATTCTCATTTAATTCCTTCACAGAGTTTCCTAGAGATATAAGGTCCAACTTATTTTGTTCAGCAGTTGCATATACCTCTGACAACAAGTCGGGAACAATGACTTCGGGGACATTGTTGAGGCTACGCGGAACGCACAGTGATGTACGTATCTTCTTAGCTGAGTGACCCAAACTATTCTTACGTATGGAAAGTACTCGTTTATTACGTTGTGCCATTGCTGAAAACTAATCAATATGGTTTAAAGTTAAAGCCGAGCTAAATCGAAAACGGGTATATGGAAAAATAGTATATCGAGTGGATATACAGATTAAGTACTACTATGGATACCGTATGGAATTTTATTGCTTATAAATAAACAATAAATTTACAAAGTACTAAAAAGTAAAATACAGAGTATATAGAAACCAATTATCCTGTAAATTGATCCTGGTATGTAAACCAAAAAATGATGAACTTCTCTACAGTTTTCTTTTCTGTGACGTTGTTCTAAAGTTACAATAAGGAGGATGAGCCCTGCGAAAGAGTGGATCCAAACTTGATAACTGGCGGTGATATATCTGCAGAATTGGAAGCTAGAGTAGCAGCCAATATAAGTTATAGTTGAGCAGTGGTATAATATCCACTACAATATTCCAGAAATCGACAAAAATATATCCACGTTATGGGGAGAGATTGTAACGTCCGATCAGAATCGCGCTTTTGTATTATTGAAAAATGTTGACTGACGTAATTATATACAATTCGACTAATTGTTTCGTCATTTTAAACATATTTAATGGTTGATTACTGTGTTTACACTGGTAACGATGTCTTTATCTGTATAATTCTTGTGTTCTTTTTCAGATAATACCTACTTTCGGGAATTTCATGGATTTGGGTGATGAAGAAAAAGATACCCGATTTTGTATTGCATGTTAATTCATTAATAAATAAATGTATTCCTCGTTATTCGTTTGCTTATTCTACTTGATAAGACCGAATATTGGCCGTTGCGTAATATGTGAGGTGTAGAGTATATGAGGCTATCTTTGAAATACTAAGTAGGAGGAGATATTCGGAGAAGCCTATTGGTAAAAGAATATGTTGTGGTCAAACAAAGTAAATATGTCTAAATCGTAGAGGGGTTATTGCGATTATAAAGCGTTTCGAATTATCTATCATCTTAGCAGAATACATATACTGATTCGCGATTCATAGTCACAAAGTGCAAGATAAATCTACCCGAGATAGCTCGCTTGAATGACTGGTTATCATATTGTTCCCACAAACCGAAGACAGAAACGTCAGCAACCATGTAATTTAACCATAAACCAAATTTGTGAAATTTAAATAATGCTTATCCATGCCTGTATATTTGATGTGTCCTACAGAAGTAGGAAAAAATGTGTATTTTATTAAAACATTATTAATAAGTATGATTTCTAATGGTATATGTAATTTATCAGACTGATGATGCCGTGAACTGGCGTCCCTCATGTACAAAATGAGAATATACTATTATTATTGTGATTTCTGCATGTCGCAATGTACCATAAGGAGGGACTATACCTATGCTGTTAGATGTATAACTCAGTGCAACTACAGTTATCGTAATAATTAAAAAACAGAATGCCTAGGCTTCTCAGCCACGAAACACGATAAGTTGCTATCTGCTCATATAATCACGTAAACAGAAGTTTTCCAGGCGCTGCATTTACTCCTAACAGTTTACCCTCAGCTTCTAACTTGGCACGTGCTACTTGTGTTACTGGAACACAATCGCATTACAACAGAAGGAAGACAGATTCATTGAAAAATTGTTTATTAAACAAAAATTAGATTTCAAATGTACAGATAGTTCAGATGAGTAGTCCTCTGTTACCGTCAGTAAGTTCCATCTGCGTACACGACACGCATATGTTTTTCCATAAGTCTGAAAAGGTTTAAGAAAAGCATAATTAACTTGGGTGTTACATGTATGATCTGAATAAAAAAATTTTCCTGATAAGCATTTACAAGTGATCACTTTACAAACAATATATACATATATATAAGTAGCCCAATAGTTTTCACTAAACTTAAGCGACTTCGCAACTTATCGTTGGTCGATATCTAGTAAGTCCATCGAAGCATCATGAAATGATAAAATTATTTAATGACAAGTTATGCAGTAGTTTCCAAAGCTTATACAGATATTTAGCAAAAATGACAACGACTTTATGACAAATAATAGGTCTTGACAGCAACAATAATAACATTCATGTTCATAGTGACTATAAAAACAATGACAGAAATTATTATCGCAACGAATTCATCATAAACTTAGATAGACAACTAATAATAATACAATCATATCAAATAAATGTATCACTTAATCTTAAGAAGCATGTGTTCACTTACTTTCACTGTATTCTCTCAATACTGATGTGCTCAACTAGCTCATTCTAACTGAATTTAAGATTATTTCTGAAAGTGAGTGGAGATCCAGTTTGTGTTAAATAAAATCATGTAACTTACATGTATTACACTGCTTACTGAGACATCTGGTACCTGCTTTCCGATCTTCGTGACTAGGATACAGTTCATCTAGGTTTACCTACATATACATAAGTATACGTGTATGCTGCATCAACCATATCGTTTTTATCATGATTAGCCAGACCACTGTGTATATTATACTTATTTAGGGATCTCTGAAAATAATGGTCAAGCGATAACTGAAGTTGCGTGAAGTTATTACCTCTTCAGTACATTGTTTGCATTCTTGACACTCCTGAGAAGTCCTTGGATCTTGATATGGCATGAATTCGTTGAATTCAGCAAACAAATCTACTGCTATATCATTTATTTCCTGAGCTGTAATAATTTGTGTTGTGAGTTATCTCTCAAATTTGATAAAACACTCACGGAAATTCAGGACTTAACCAAGCAGCAAAATGATGTTTGAAATTACCTCAACTCGAATGACAAACTGGCCAATCACAAGCGAGCGAATCGCTTGTTTATCTCATTCGCGGTCACTCAAAATTACGCCCGTCGACAGGCTGTCACTAAAGCCTTTTACGATCCTTAAAAATTCGCTTATAAACACAGCAGAAGTACTTTAGATGCAGTTGCCGTCTTAATAATAATATATATTCCCATTTTTTGTACATGAGGGACGCCAGTTTACAGGCATCATCATTTCGATAGATTACACATAATATAAGTAAGCATAGTTAGTAAAGTTAATATACTAAGGCTCATAACTTTCCGAGCTATGTAGGACACACCAGTTGTATAGGCATGCCTAAGTATTGTTTAAATTACATGATATGTGGTTGCTGTCATTTTGTCTGACAACTAGTGATTCAATGAACCACATCAAGAGATATAGAGATATTGACTTCGCATTAACAAAAAAACTAAGTATTCGTTGGATGGATTACAGATGCTTGGGAAAATAAATAAGTCTTGAAGTCAGTTACCCAATATAACAATAAAGTGAATCTTATGATAACATACTGCCTTTTAATGCACATGACTGTTGACAGGCATCATCAATATGATAATAGTGTACACATTGAGTAAGCATGTTTAAAATATTTCACTGACACAAGATATATATATATATATAGAAAGGAGGATAACGGAAGAATGGTGTTAAACAAACTTTGCATAAGTTAAAACAATTTATATGATATAATCCTAGGCAGCATTATGGTTTGAATTTGTTGAATATGCGCGTAACAACTGAGTGTTGCGTTACATTTTGTCGATATGGTTGGCTACTCACAGGTGTAAAAATGGCCTATAAAACGTTAGTTAGTTTACCGTAAACGATGTTTTAGGTAACATAATATGCAAAAGCATGCGGGAGCAGAATATTACCATGGAATGAATAAGTATGATCTGAGATGCAGCTGTCAGCATGTTTTCGTTATTTCATTGATGTCCAGGTTTATTGGCGCTGTGTATGCAGTGATTTGGATTTGGACATACTCCGCAGAGTGCCTCCGTGATCATAGGAAGTATAAATATGCTTTAAATGCATTACTTTGTTGGCTCCTACCTCCACTGAGTGTTTACAACAGCAGCTGTGGATTTATGTATTTCCTTGCCTCTGTACAGTGGATAAAATATCGCCGCATTCTTTTTGGAAAGGAGACCAGTTGGTGGATTATAAATGATGTCCAAGTAACACATATTTCCATGTGGTATTGCAGTAAGTTTCGGCCTTGTTTTCTCATATTTTATTCGTATGTTGGTTATGGTTCTCCCTATGTATCAGGTAGACAGTTCGATTGACTCTTAATTGAATGGGTGTTATTGTCATGACTGCTGCTTTTTGTCTGGAATTATAAATAGGGGCAAAACAAACAACAGTTGTAGTCTGTAAGTTCATACATTAAATGGGCCTATGATTTCTGAAACTCTTACATACGAATTAGCACTGGTGTCACTTGCAAACTCACTTAGCTTGTCATTAAGTGCCTTTTCAAAGGAGGCCAATGTGCTTGCTGGTCGCATTTCCTCAGGTAGTTTGTTCCATATTTGGGCATACCTAGTCAAGAAAACCTTTTGCCTGGTGGCTGTTTTTACGTGGTTCTATCGCCACTGTACCTTTAGTGTGTCTAAGGTTATATCCAGTGTCTTCTGAGAACTGAGTATAATTGGCAGGGGCATACACCATGTGGTTAAGAATCTTATAGAAGAATACCACATTTAGTCTCAGTCGGTTTAACCATAATGTTTCTAGTCCTAGGATTTCACATTTGGTAGAGTAGTTTGTGCCGTTATCGGTTCCGAGTACCTCTGTACTCCTTCTACATTCAGTCTGTCTTCTATGAGTGTACTGCTAAATATGAATGAGCAGTAATCTAGGAGTAGGCGCACACAAACCTTGTACAGTAGTATTCTCGATTCGTTTCTGTATAAGTTCCTGAGTAGGAAACCAATAAGCCTGCGTGATTTCGATACTTGTTTCGAGATATGCTCTGAAAATGATAGATTGTGTGAATATTTCAGTCGTAGGTCTAGTAGAGATTTGAGTCTGGGGATTTAGTGGCCCTGAATTGCTAGGTTGAGTTCAAGGTTGAAACAGCCTATGCAGAGCCATCCACACTTGTCAACTGTCTGTCTGTCTGGATTCAACATAGAACTTGGCACCGAAGTGCAGCAGTTCGAGTTGCCACGTTCCAAATAGCACACAAAGGTAGACAAGAAGATGAGTGGAGAGAATCAATAGAGTTTGACAAGTATAAGAGTGAAACAGAATGGGTAATGGTAGAAAGGAATATGAAAGATTACAGAGACTGAATACATCTGCGCTGCCATTGACAACGATTTTGAGCCATGTCACCTATTGTCTCCAGCCATTGATTCCTAGAGTCCCGAGGGCCCCAACCCGGGAGTCTGCATCTCCCTACCTGACTCAGTTTAACTGTCAAGGATTTCATGGATTGATGCCATGTTTTTGTTTGGCCACCACTGGCTCTTTTCCAACCTGAACCTATATCAGCTAGCAAAGCCCGTCGGGGGAGGCGGTGGTTAGGCATGCGCACCACGTGACCTAGCCATCTTAGTCTATGTAACTTTATAGCCTCGTCGATTGATTTTCCCTCTTTGCCCAACACTCTACGCCTAACGTCAACATTACTTACCTTGTGAAACCACCTAACGTGAGACAGAGATCGCAGACATCTATGATCGAAAGCAGTCAACCTTTTCATGTCTTCAACGCGTATTGGCCATGTTTCAGAGCCATAGAGAAGGACGGAGCGAACTGATGAGCAGTACACACGTCCCTTGGTTGATAACCGGATGTCACGCCTACGCCAGAGATGGTGTAAGTCAGCGAAAGCAGCTCGAGCTTTTCGGATCCGTGCTGAGATTTCATCGCCAATCAGTCCGTTGGTGCTAATACAACTTCCCAAGTAGGTGAAGTGGTCAACATGTTCTATCACTTCACTCCCTATCACTAAGTTAGGGGTTGACGTGGTCCAGTCCTGTAGCAGCATCTTACATTTTGTAGGGGCGAATCGCATGCCAAACATACGAAGATTGCTGCTCAAGGTGTTCAGAAGACTCTGCATTTTGTCAGCATCCTCCCCTAACAGGACTATGTCATCTGCATATTCTAAGTCCATTAGATTATTCCCTGGTAACAAGTCGATTCCTAAGTCACTACGTTCAGTTAAGGATACTTCCATTAGCATATCTATGATGAAGTTAAACAGAAATGGGGAAAGTGGACATCCCTGTCGGACACCACTGGTTGTTACTAATTCAGATGACAATTCCCCATAAGCCCTTACACGACTACGTGAGTTTGAATAGAGTGCCTTGATTAGTGCAATGTACTTTCTTGGCACTCCCTTCACAGTCAGACATTGCCATAGTACCTTTCGATCCACGGAGTCGAAGGCCGCCTTCAAGTCAAGAAATATGACAATTGTTGGACGCCGAAAAGTGTGTCTATGTTCTAGAATCTGTCGAAGAGTGAAGATATGATCTATGCACCCTCTACCTGGTCTAAAGCCTGCTTGATTTTCCCTTGTCTGTTCCTCCCGAGTTCTGCTTAGTCTATGCATGATTACTGAGCCTAGGATTTTAGAGACTATGTTCGTTAGGCTGATCCCCCTATGATTATCACACGAGGACTTGTTTCCCTTCTTGAATATCGGTATAATAAGTGACTTACCCCAGTCTGATGGTACTGTCTCTGATTCCCAGACTTTGCCTAGTACCTCAGTTAATCTACAAACTAGTATGTCACCCCCATATTTAAACACCTCCGGAATAATTCCGTCGGGTCCTGCCGCTTTGCCTCGTTTCAAATTACTGATAGCTTTTGTAACCTCACCTACAGACGGCGGACCAGTGTCTATATCCCATTCGGGTACGTGGTGGATGGCGGGGAGGTTCAGTGTGGCTGTAGGCAAGTTAAATTGTTCCTCAAAGTGTTCTTTCCAGCGTTCAAGGCGTCTATCCTGAGAGCTAATTAAGGAGCCATTTTTCTCAGAAATAGTCTCACTTATGAATTGCCTTTTCCCACCCGATTCTGTGATGAGTCTAAAGAGTTGCCTAGTGTTGCCTATCGCCGATGCTTTTTCCATCTCTTTTGCCTTTGTCACCCACCACTGTTCACGGTCCTTGCGGAGACTTTTAGTAAGTTTCCTTTTGTGCAGCTTTCGCTCCTCATTGAATTCGGAGCTCGCCGGAATAAGTCTTCTAGCATCTATCAGTTCGGATGAGGCAGTCGAAATCCAGTGGTTTTTACTCACCTTTGGATTTGCCTTATTCACAGCTTTTACAGCTGTATCTATAGCTGACTGAATATTCTTCCAGGCTTCTCCAGGGTGAGCACAGCTGTCGAATTCAGATATGCGTTTAGCTAGTTCTTCCTCAAATAGGGATTTAGTTTCCTGATCGAGCTGGGGACGTGATGGTTTTACCGCCAGCTGTTTCCTACGTCCGTTCAGTCGTAAGCACACACGAGCCCGGACCAGTGCGTGATCGGTATCTACACACGTGTTCCAGAAGGAGCGACAATCTCCTACCGACCCACGCCAACGATAGCTTATTGCTATGTGGTCTATTTGTGTCCAGCGTTGGTTTGGTGATGGGGGTCGCCAGGTCAAACAGTTTCTCTCCTTGTGTTTAAAATGATTATCTGGACAGAACTGTAGGAGACGGTCACCGTTGTCGGTCCGTCGGGACGGAACTCCATAGGTGCCACCGACATCCTTCTCAGATTGACACAATTTCCCTACTTGAGCGTTAAAGTCACCAGCTAGAACGACTATATCTGAGCGTTTAGCCTTTCTCACCAAACTAGACAGCTTTTGGTAGAACTCATCCTTCGTTTCATCCGAACTGCAGTCAGTGGGGGCGTAGGCGGAGATTACGAAAAGGCATCGGCGAGTAGTGCAGTCCTTTCTCCTTCTTACTGATCCGTTCAGACGGACAGCACACATTCGGCTATCTACCGGGATCCAGTCAAGCAATGTCTTTTCTGCCCTAGTACTCAAAGCTATCCCTACGCCAGCTAATCCTCGTGAACTAGCTGTGGCATCTCCTGACACCCTCAAGGTGAATTTTGAAGATTCATCCTGTTGGCCAGGTGGGGTTAGGTGAATAACCACACTTGGGTCTTGTATGCGTGTTTCTGAAACACAACATACATCAATGGCTCGAGATGCCAGGGTCTTAGCTAGTGATGCTTGTTGTCCTATTTGGCAAAGTGTCCTAACATTAAATGCTCCTATATGAAATTGGTGGCGTGGCTTTAGGAGACTATCCGTGGTGGTTTTTTGGCTTTCGTCGTTTTTAGTGGACACAGAGTGAAGAGGGAGTGAGGAGCCATCAAGTAGAGGAGTTGCATCACTGGGGGGAAGGCAAGGTAATAGAGATGAAGATGAAGACAAAGATAAGTAAGGATTATAGAGGTTTTGTGTGCGTTTTGGATTGTGAAGGCGATTGTTACTTCCCGGCTGCCCACACCGTGGAAGTTGGTTGCGTGACCGCAGAGCCCAGGGGACAACTGCTTGTGGCCGGTCACACGCGGCCTGTTTTTGTTCGTTCTTTGTTGTTTTGTGTGCCTCAGTAGCATACTTATCACTCCCGCCCTGTGACACGGCAGCAGGAAGCGCGGTCGTTGTTAATCCGGGCCACGGCCGATCCGGTATGAAATTTTGTGAATTTGTTTGGATCATGGTATTGGATGAGGTAGCTGCTTTTTGTTTAACCGCTATCCAAACAACCTGCCTGGCATGGTAGAACCTCAAGAGACATAAGTCTCAGCCAGTATAGCTTGATTAGGTCATTGCGGTGTTCAAGCCCGACCACCACGTCAAGGTAGCAGCTTTCGGTCGGGACACTTGTCAACATTAAACTCTAGTCTCCAGGTGTCACACCATCTATCCATTTTTATTAATTCTTCATGTATGGAGTTCGTAATTGTGCCGATATCTGTATTTGTGCAGGTATATGTCACCTTCAAGTCATCTGCATACAGTATTGGCTTGCCTATACTAAAGGATTCACGTATACTGTTTATGTATATAATGAAAAGAAGGGGTCCCAATACACTCCCCTGGATGACACCACTGCTGATTGGTCTAGGCCTGGAAGTCATTGAGCCAACTTTAGTTGTCTGATTCCTGTCATAGAGAAATGATCTCATCCAACTGTAGAGAGGGTTGCGTATCCCTAGTCTGTCTGTCTGTTTTCGACATAGTACTTTACACATATGTGCGGCAGTTCAAGTCGCCATACTCAATGTATTACACAAAGCAAGAGAATAAAGTACAAGAAACGCATAATAGAGACAGTAAACAGAGGTGTGAGACATAGGAATAATGATAACGAAGAACAATATAGTTTTATTGGAAATCATAAGTCACAAGGAGTGGATGCATCTGCGCCAGCCATTGAGAACGATTTTGAGCCATATCACCAACTGTTTTCAGCCATTGGTTTTACCGTCCCGAGAACTCTAACCAATCAGGAAGTCTTCAGCTTCCTACGTAACTTAAACTAACTGTTGTGGATTTCATTGACTGATGAAGCCATGTTTTGGTCTGACCGCCGCTAGCTCTTTTCCAGCCTGACCTTATATCAGCTAACATTGCCCATTGTCGAGGAAGGCGATGACTAAGCATACGTAACACATGTCCTAACCATCTCAGTCGATGTAGCTTCACAGCCTCGTCGATTGATTTCCCATGCTTACCTATACCTCGACCGACGCCTAACCTCAATATTGCTCACCTTATTATACCACTTCACACGGGAGATAGAGAGTAAGCATCTATGATCAAAGCCAGCTAATCTTTTCATGTATTTCACTCTCAATGGCCATGTCTCAGTCACAGCCATAAAGGAGGACGGAGTGGACTGATGAGCAGTACACCCGCCTTTTGGTCGATAGCCAGCCGGATATCACATCTACGCCAGAGACGGCGTAAACTGGCATATGCGAAACGAGCCCCCTGTATTCGTGCTGAGATTTCGTCAGAGATCAACCCGTT